AGGGCCTGCGCAGCCGCGCGGATCAGCGTGGTGCCGTCGCCGTCCGGCAGGCCCAGGTCCACCAGCAGCACGTCGGGCCGCGTGTTGTGCAGCAGGTGCAGCCCCTGCGCCAGCGTGGCGGCGCAGCCCACCACCTGCATGTCCTGCTGCGCCTGCACGGCCGCGGTGAACGGCTCCAGCACGGCGGGGTCGTCGTCCACCAACAAGACGCGCAGCTTCATGCCGCCGAAGTGTAGGCAGCGGCACTCCACACAGTTGGGGACTCGTGCCGTGATTGCGGTACGCCCACTCACCCTGCAAACGGGGTCGGGTTTCCAGAATGAAACCCATCGAGGCCTCCGCAGGGAAGCCGCGATGCCCGCCCCGCCGCGTCATCGGCGTGCCCGCCCTCTTGCCGGAAGACCCCCATGCACCCTCGCCACACCCTGGCCCTTGCCCTCACGCTGGCCTGTGCCGCGGCCCTCGTGCCGCCGGCGCGCGCCGCGAGCGTGTCCATCGTCAACCCCAGCTTCGAGGACGACGTGCTCCCCGAAGGCGCCAACGCCAACAACGTGGTGACGGGCTGGTCCACCGATCTCAACGACGCCTGCAAGCCGGAATGCTTCGGCGCCTACAACCCCCAGGTGGGCAGCGCCGCGGTGCCATCGGGCACGGTGCCGGACGGCAACAACGCGTTCTACATGGTGTCGACCAACGCGGCCTACCCCGTCTTCCAGGTCCTGACGGGCACGGTACTGCAGGCCAACACGCACTACACGCTGACGGTGGCCGTCGGCAACCCGGCCGAGCGGGCCGACAACGGCAGCTTCGGCTTCCGGCTCGGCGTGGTGGGCTCGTCGCTCGCCGTGGGCGCCTACAACGACACGCTCGACCATGTGCCGAACGGCGGCTTCATCGACCTGAGCTTCAGCGTGCTGACGGGCAGCGCCCCTGCAGACATCGGCAAGACGCTGGTCGTCGCGCTGTACGGCCCGCTGGATGCCGGCCCCGGCAAGCCCTATGTGCTGTTCGACAACGTGCGGCTGGACGCCACGCCGGCCGTGCCCGAGCCCGCCGC